AATAAATAATAGTAATTTATAGTAAATACTATAGTGTTTTTGAACCATACTATAGTAAAGTACTTGAATTAATTTGTTGTGGTAATTCTATAGTTGCTGTGGTAATATAACAACTATAGTAATATAACCAAATTACTTTACCCAATACTGTACTAAGTTTTCTACAACTATAGGGTATATTATACAGTAAAAACTAAAGTATACTACAGTATTTATTATAGTTTATCAGTTCACTATAGTTAATGCTACAGTATGCTGTAGCATTCATTAACAAAATGTTGTAAATACTATAATATATACAGTATAATACACTTTACTATAGTATGCTTCAAAACATTATAGTATTTACTATAAATCACTAGGCTTATAGTATTTTTTCATGTGGGATAGTATGCATGACCTCAAAACAAGTTACTATAGAGCATGATTTGTAAACTAATACATTGTGCCTTTGCATCACATAATCAGCTCCACATGTATGGCTTTTATAACGTATAAAACCGGTTCTGTAGCTCACCTGGTAGGCTACAGCATTTCACTTGGATCCGGCGCGAACAGAAGAAATGGCATGACTGTTTCAGCAAATAGCCTACAGTTTATCTCGCGTTTGCTTTTTCAAAACTATCGCTTAAGTTTAGGGTAGGATTAATTGGTAAGTTATTTTCAAGCACGATAGAACGTTAAACTTTTAACTAGCCTACCTCGATACTACAACTAATGCAATGAAACGTCGCCAGATTCACGTTCACCTGTTTCAGATAAAAGTGATTAGGCTTTTAGCGCCACTCACTGGACATTTCACTTTTTTCTACAAAAACAAAAACTGGTTATTAAACCATGGCAACAACAAATTAACCATAGTTTAACCATGGTATTTGTAGTAAAACTGTGGTTATACAAATGGTAATCAATCAGCCAAAAAAAACAAAACCGTGCACCATTAAAAGTTGTTAATATAATTTTGCAGAAATGTCGCCACAGGCACGTTGTTTCTATTGTGGTTGAGGGTTGCATAAGAATGTAGATGGTGTCAGGTTAAAGGGCTCAAAAGGGGCAATCAGGTGAAGAGGGAGGGAAAAGGGGAAGCACTGCCTGAAAAACATGACCTTTGTGTGATAGTTATCTGGCTACTGGGAGTGAGCTGGTGGGGGCCCATGAGGAATAGCAATGCTTTTGTTGGTAATCTTGGCACGATCAAGCTGTCCTGTTTTGTGCCTATGACTCAGATCTCCCTGATCTCCAAAAGACACTCACTCAATACCGCCTGCATGGATGCCCTCGCTCACCCCTGCGAGGGACCAACCTCAGGGCCGCAGACCCTTATTCCTCCCCATTCAGCCTCTTGAGAGATTCGCCTCAGGTAATGTCAGTGACAAAAAAGCCCACTTGCATATTCGTATTCAGCCAGTCACACACCTGAGATCTTCTATGCTTTTATTCGGCACCGTGGGATGATTTTCTCCGCAGATGTGCAGCTATCCACCTGTCTGGAGGTCCAATGTGCTCCTCTGACTCTAAACCTTCAATCTGACGGCTCGGCTTTCACTCAAACTGGCCTAAATCAAGCGGCACTGCCCTATTGAAGATGAAGAGGTGCAGCCTGGAGCTCATACGCCACAGACAGGGCTCCTATTGATTTTATAGCACAAGCTGCTGGTAAGCTGTGCTCTCTCTGGCATACTAAATTCCCTGCCCTTCTAGGAGGGCTTGATGAACTGCCCAGGTAGCTCTCACTCATTCCTCTTGTCAGAAGCACTTGAGCTAGATGAATGTCTTACCTGTGCCTCGTGTGCATGCGACTCACTTAAATGTTTCCCAGCGACTCTTGAAGCTTTTTACCGCAGTCTCTGATGATGAATGGCTTTTTTTGTTTGTAAGAAAATGTTTTAGATGCTTTTCCAGGTTTCGCTGTGGAGGATTTATCTTCTGATGTATGAAGACAGGGCATTTTTAGCTGGCAGACATGACCCCTCAGTCAAGTCAAGGTAGATAGATAACAGTTAAACATCATGACGCAGGATGCCATTGTTTTGCAAACACACGGAATGGATGTGCCTTCATTGTTAAAGTCAACATGAAATGATTCCTCAAGACTCCAGACTGGGACTAAAATAGTTTTAAATGCAACAAAAAAAAATTACCATTAGCGATAATAACATCAGCATATGTTTGTTGCATTTCTCCCTCTGAGAGGCAGTTTGCACAGAACTTTCAAAATGTAATAATTATTTCTGACTCACCTCACTCATAGTTTTGATTAAAATATAACATCTGGTTGGGCAGTTGCATATAGTATAGCTGCAAAAGTTCAAATATTTCAGTATACTAAAAGTTCAAATCAGATCCAAATATTTGCAAAGATTTTGCATATGCATGTGATTGGAACATTAGGTCCGTTGTTTGTCAGATGTCAGAGATAGTGAAAAGGCGATTTCAGAGACAACATCAGAGTTTCATTCACAGCAGGAGCCGTGATGTTTGATTCATGAGCAAATGACTCTTATAAAGTGGTTCTTTTGAAAGAGTCAGTCAAAAAGCTCCACAAATTAGCCTTTAACACACTGCCTCACTGAACCATGAGTCATTTTCCCATTATGTCCAATTCAAAGTGAACTAGGAACGTCACTTCTAGTTAAGATACACATTCACAACAGATTTTATATGCAACATAAGGTATTCTAAAAATGTAAATATTTCACAAAAAATATTCTTTAGCATAGTTTAGCATAGTAATTGTAGTGTCATAGTAATATATATTTATTCTGGAGATCAGTTGATATCAGGTGAAAAGGAAAATCAAACAGTTTGCTTTTATTAATTTCTTTGGAATAATGTGCACCGATAAGACTTGGAGTTTGCATTAAGAAAGTAAACTGGGTCAATTTTGATTTCATGTTGACTTTAATATTCTTCCACCCCTGATTCTGAACCAAAACACTAGTTATGATATATCTATGCTCTTGTTTCCTCATTATTTCAAATTTGAAGGTCAGTTTGCACACATTTTGTGAAGAAGACAAAGTGCGCATTGTTGGCATTCTTAAAACTGACTTTATTTTTCTAAATCTTTAAATATCTCTCCGACTATTATCTTTATTGATGTAAACTACTGTATTTAAAAGGTGTGCTTTTTTTCTACAGCATGTTTCAAGCTGAGACTGCTGTTTTCATTGAGAGGTCACATACACAATGTTGCAGGCGTAAGTGGTGAGTGACAGGGCCTAAGACTCTATGGATGTGATTGGCTGAGCAATAACAGTCCTGGTAAGAGGAGCTGATGCGAGGCTGTGATGGAGATGAAGGAGCAAGCGAGCGAAAGTGAGAGACCCGGCGACGGGCGCTCGGAGTAGGCAGAAGAGACAGGCACTAGGTGCTCTGAGAGAGACTTGAAGGGTTAAACTGTTCAACTGTGCCCAGTGCACTCCGGTGGACTCCTTCAAATACGAAACACTTAGTTTTGGACCCAGAACAGCACAATTTCACAACATAAAGTGGATCCAAACAGAAGGCAACATTTACAGTAATATTCCCAGTGAGGCGGCAGATTGCTAGCATGACTTCGGTAGGCTGAATGAAATAAAACTGGAGATGAATGACTGGCTTGCATGAATCTGGAGGCTAAAGTACATGCACGTCAGCTCTTGGGTGTTCTGAAATGAGGTGAATTTCTGGAAAAACTACATTAATATAGATGTTTCAGGATCTACTTCCGTTTCTACCTAACTGACAAGGGGATTAATAATTGCGACAGATGCGAAGGAAAACTTACGGTATACATTATATCATTACATCTGGATGTGTTTTGCATACATGGTAAAGAATTTTTCTTTCTTTTTTTCAATGTAACTAGTTTTAAGGGCAGATCTGTTGTTTTCTCTGTTGGCTGAACTTCTTTAAAGCCCTTCTATGCTTGTTACTTGAAAACCAAAAGCCCTTGGAGTTTATATTCATCAGTATGATATTGATAACATTAACTAAGCAACTAAATCACAGTATACATTTATATTTTGTAGTTAAGTTCAGTATAGCATTAATGTAGACAGAATGAACAGTATATATTTTCAAAGAAGTATTGTATGCATGTTCATAAGCATAGCTTTTGTTGTTGTTTTGTTATTGTGTATAGACTTGAACCTGAAAATCCCTCCAGCCCATTTAGAGGCTTGTCTATTCATGATATGTGAATGGTCCAAGTACTCAGGGCAGTTCCTTTTGATTTCATAACATTCTGATTTTTATAAACTCTTGATGCACAGCTTTTGGTAAATGTATGAACAATATTTTCTCCAAAAACATCTGAACTATTGAAAATTAAGAAATCTACATTTGGCAGCCAACTGCTTTTCTTTCGCTAAATGATGGAAAAAAAACCTCTACGGTATAATAATGACCACAATATCCATATTAATAAGCAAAAGGGCCTCCAGTAAACTTCTTATCAAGGATATATCATTGTAAATCACAGAAAATTGTAAATCATTAAAATAGCAATGAAAACAATGTAATACCAATAAACTTTGCTTGGCTAAAAGATCATATTTAATAACAAGCATTTTAACCCTGTTATAAAAGTTTATGCAGGGGTTTTTGCAATGGAAATAATGGGAGTAAACATTAAAAAAAATAAAAAATAACAGAACTGTGTGGATGGCATGCAGAACCCAGCCAAGTAGATTGAGGGCAGCGTGTAGGTGGCATGAGTGGGGATACATTTGGCAGCCAACTGCTTTTCTTTCGCTAAATGATGGAAAAAAAACCTCTACGGTATAATAATGACCACAATATCCATATTAATAAGCAAAAGGGCCTCCAGTAAACTTCTTATCAAGGATATATCATTGTAAATCACAGAAAATTGTAAATCATTAAAATAGCAATGAAAACAATGTAATACCAATAAACTTTGCTTGGCTAAAAGATCATATTTAATAACAAGCATTTTAACCCTGTTATAAAAGTTTATGCAGGGGTTTTTGCAATGGAAATAATGGGAGTAAACATTAAAAAAATAAAAAATAACAGAACTGTGTGGATGGCATGCAGAACCCAGCCAAGTAGATTGAGGGCAGCGTGTAGGTGGCATGAGTGGGGGTGATAAGCATGAGACAGTGGCACTAGTTGTGGGCTCAATTTCCGACCCGGGAGAGAAACCAACAATGTATACAATCTTGTGAGTGTGAGGCAGCACTCACCAGCAATGGGCTACTGAGCTGTGCATAAGGCGAGTATCAGGACAGCCTTTCGGTTTGTCTGTCAGAAGTGTTACAATCCTCCCCCTCAGAGGGCTTCACAGTTTTGCTGGGCTACCACTTCAGGAACTCCAGTCGCAGAACAAATGACTTTGAGGAGAGGACTAGCATTCTACTCGAGTAGCCCTTAGGGGGAGGGACGTGTGAGTCAGGTGAAACGACAGAAACAGTGACTGAAAAATGAGGATTAAAAGGAAGCACCAATGATCTAACAATTACCATCTATATTTATATATAATGTTATAGAAAGAGGGTTATAGCCCTGCAGGCCTCGAGTGAATTCTTCTTCCTGCTGGGGTCCAGCTCAAGTCTGTGGTTGTAACGTCTTGGCCGTGGCACTTCCTCTGTGCTTAAACTCTCTCAGACTGGAGTGGTCCTCCTGTTGGCTGCATCTTTGAAGTCCTTAGCGTTGGAGTTGTGAGCCTGCAAAAACTCCCTCTCGGAGTTGAGCAAGGCACCCATTGCCGCCTTGGAGGGATCCCTGGACAGGGTGTACATGGAGATGTCTGCCGCAGCGGGGCCCGTGTACCCGCTCTTGCCCATGGGTGAAGCGTCACGCGAGGCAGGCTCGCTGGAGCGGCAGCTGGAGCGCCGGCGGAATCGGTAGCGGTAGCTGGGGATGCGACTGAAGGCCGACTTCTTGATCAGCTCGGTGCGGGACTTGGTGCGCAGCTTCCGGTGTTTCTCGATGAACATGTGCACGGCAAGCACGCCCACCATCTCGGCCATTATGAAGGACAGTGCGCCGAAGTAGAAGGACCAGCCGTATGAGTAGCTCTTCTTTGAATCGCTCTGGCCAGGGTCACCCGAATTGGCAGATATGTACACGATAATACCGATGATGTTACTTAGGCCTGCGTGAGGAGTAACAGCAGAGGAGAGGGCAAGAGAGAAAAGAGAGAGAGAAAGTTACGGCTCAGCACGCAGCTGTGGCTCATCATTCCGTATCATTACACAAGAATGCATCACTTAGCAGCCATGCGGAACACAGAAAAAAAGAACAATTGAAACATTTTAATTAGCTTTTTATCATCGCCATCATATTGAAGGGTAAATAATTAGCAGTTTGCCGTCGAATATTTAGATCATAACCAATAGGACGAGGCAATTCCAAGGGCATTGTTGTGTACAAAGCAACGCTCTGTCATCGGCAGCGCGTTCGCTGCAATCATAAGGACTGATTCATCACAATTCAATTGTAGCGGAGGGAGTTAGGCTCATTTGTGTGCTCATGAGGTCCTAATGGGGCTCCACTGTGTCATGCCTAAAATGGTCTTTATGTAGAAATATTTGTAATATGATGTCCTCTCATACTTTATTTCTTAAATATACATCTATAATTCTGTGATTGTCTATTTACTTTATGCATACGCATGAATATATATGCTATACTTTGCTGTGTCGAAACCAAAATCAGCCTAGACATTATACTCCTTTTATGTTCCACAGAAAAAAAATGCCATGTTGGTGAATAGATGATGACATTTTTGGTGAACTATGCCTTTTAGATTTACTGATACAATGACTTTTATGGTACACATACGTTTTTTGGATTTATGGTGTAAATCAGTCTGTCTCGTCAGAGGTATTTGGTCTAATAACCCGGCATTGGAACACTTCATCCCGAGCGAGCCATCTGATGTTGCTCTGCAGAAAGAATGTGTCCTTGAAGCGAGAAAGTTCAGTAAGAATATCTTTTTTTTAAACATCTTCATTATCACTTTTGGTCAATTTAATTCTTACTGACCCCAAACTTTTGAATAAAAGTGTAGAGTCTGCTCCACTGTGTCATGCCTAAAATGGTCTTTATGTAGAAATATTTGTAATATGATGTCCTCTCATACTTTATTTCTTAAATATACATCTATAATTCTGTGATTGTCTATTTACTTTATGTATACGCATGAACATATATGCTATACTTTGCTGTGTCGAAACCAAAATCAGCCTAGACATTATACTCCTTTTATGTTCCACAGAAAAAAAATGCCATGTTGGTGAATAGATGATGACATTTTTGGTGAACTATGCCTTTTAGATTTACTGATACAATGACTTTTATGGGACACATACGTTTTTTGGATTTATGGTGTAAATCAGTCTGTCTCGTCAGAGGTATTTGGTCTAATAACCCGGCATTGGAACACTTCATCCCGAGCGAGCCATCTGATGGTGCTCTGCAGAAAGAATGTCTCCTTGAAGCACTGTGTTTAGTTAAGTCTTCACAGATTTGAGCACTGCAACAGACAGCATCTGTCGCAAATGCTTCGTACTTCCTTCCAATTATTTGCGGACAGTTCTGGATCAGAAAACGCAGCACACACGGGGCTTCTCAGACTGGCTGAACTCCTCGTTCCTTCACTCTGCCTCAGATCAAGCTTGATCAGCCTCTTCAGAAATAGGATAAAAGCTAAAGGAGGGGCATCTGAGAGTGTCAGGATCAATGTCAATAGCCTAGTTGACTGCCCTTATCAGTACACTATTGCTATGCACACCGCAGCGCTGCAGCATTTGCCCGTCTGAGCGCCTCTCCTCTAAGAAATAAATATTTTGGGACAAGAGGGGCAATCATGTCTACAGATGAAATAACCAGTGAATGTGATAGGAAAATATGACCGTTTCGCTTTTTCTGAAATGTAGCATTGCTACATTGTTTACATTATCCTTTACCCCAGTGCATTTAAAAACTGACAGTGATGTTTATATATACAACAAAACACTGATAGCTATGTAAACCAATAATAATATAAAACAATGCAAATCACTGAACAATCATGCAAGAACATCACGTTTACATGCACTTTCTTTGTCCAGTCTTGAATAAAGAACTGTTGCACAGTCATGCAAAATGTTGTGGGTCAGAACTGAATTTAGAATGCCTTTAAAAGTACATTTTAATTCCTTCATTTAAAATGAGGTTGCAAACAGTAAGTAGAATAGAAATGGAATGATATTCAATGAAAATCAATTTATTATATATTTGATTTTTCAGTATGAATTGCTGATTAAAAAATCTGTCTTTATATAAATATGTAGAATTTATATATTTCATAAATATATTTTCATTATATTTCATAAATTAATACATTTATTTTGGAGGTACAGTTCATTTGTAAGGATGCTCTAATTTATACCAAAACATATTTATTTCTATGATATCTGAAATTCATATTTTTTTTTGACAATTTTAATGGATAAATGTAAAAAATTTATTCTTCTGTTAATACCATGGAGTGAATAGTTATAACGAGTCAAAATGAATAGGAAAGGTATCCACCGTAAAACAAATAAATATGCGGATGATCTGCTGTGACGAGCTCTAATGGGGGTGAAATGATAGAATAAGTCAAAATGAATGACAAAATTATTTGTTTTATTGCAGAACTACTAAAATGTCACCTTGTGACTGTACTGAATATCTTTGAATTGCAATTCATTAATTCATTAAAGTAACGAGCACAAACCTTTGCTTTAACCATTTATGAAATCTCTGATGACTTTAAATATCATTTGATCATTAAGCAGATTAACACATTCATTGACGATCAGTTGGTAAGTTGTTTGTGAAGAAAACTGCACCATGGCTTCATTGTCTTTCTCTAACAAATGTCACTCTCCTTCCCTCCCCTTCATTTCTCTCTCTCCTCAGTGGATCAGCAGTCTCCCATGGCACACCTCATTAATATATTCATGCCCAGGGGAAGACAAAATACTCCTCCATCATCCAATTTTCCTGCCATCCTTGAAAAATGGATCAGTGGCCGAGCCATGCTTAATTACAGCTGGAAATGGGAGATATTTATTGAGGAGGATTGTACAGAGCATTAGCATGCAACAAAAAGGATGACATCTGCGTCCTTGATGGGTCCATCGTCTCGCTGACAGGTAAGATCTACATAGGGTAAGACCTCCGTGGGACGACTGAAACATTTATTTGTGCTTGGCTGAGACTTTTCAGTTTGAAAACTGGACGGATGGGCCTCTCTGGTTAACAAGTCGAGGTTATCAGCCTCATGAATCCCCTGAAGTCTGTGCGGTGGGCATTTTGTAGACAAAGATGTGCAGGGCAGAATGTGAAATGCCTGTCTGAACTTGCATGCAGAGCATGTTAGGCCAGAGGACACGGCCCTCTGCTTCAAACGAATAACAGAGAAATTAGAACAATGCTCATAGGGAAAAACAGCCATCTCAAGGGCAACTAAAGTACGCCATGAGAGAGACAGATAAAGATCAAGTGAATCAAAGGCAGAGAAAAAAACAGAGAAGGGAAAAGCTTTTCAACGGCATTTCCCTTCAAAATCAGCTCTTTTTTTGCTCAGAAATGTATATTTGTAGTGCTCATGAATGTATTTCATTGCATTGTTCTGAATGGCATGCCTATTAGCACTATGAACAGGGCAGCAAATGGAGCTGTAAAGCAGTGGACTTTCTTGCCCTTATAGTCTGGGTAGGATGTCTGTATCTGTGGCTTCTCGATTGCACAAACGGTCGACATGCTGACACCGATCATGTTAGACTCACCCCCAGTGAAACTTCAGTCTGAGATGTCTAGTGTAAATAGTTATTGGCAGAAACCCTGCTTGCTGTGGTTTGTTGTTTACATGCAGTAAGATCTCACATCACATTAGTCTCTCCATAAAACTAACGTGTGGAAGGCTGCTCTTGGACTCTTTGTTAAAGGGATATTTCATCCAAAAATAAAAAATGACATTCTGTCATTCCAAACCCATATGCTTGTATTTTCCCCATAGAACACAATTAGACTCACCCCCAGTGAAACTTCAGTCTGAGATGTCTAGTGTAAATAGTTATTGGCAGAAACCCCGCTTGCTGTGGTTTGTTGTTTACATGCAGTAAGATCTCACATCACATTAGTCTCTCCATAAAACTAAAGTGTGGAAGGCTGCTCTTGGACTCTTTGTTAAAGGGATATTTCATCCAAAAATAAAAAATGACATTCTGTCATTCCAAACCCATATGCTTGTATTTTCCCCATAGAACACAGTCATTTTTTAAACAATTTTCACTCTTTACACCTTTCCATTCAACAACAGCGCATATCCACCAACTGAGAAAACACAAAAGTGCCTTAAAGTCTGTATAAAATATAAATTCCTATCTATTTTCTAAATGCAAGATTCATCTGTGTATATTTTTCTTTTTGACATTTTGATTTTTAATTAAAATCACATAACTCAAACATCCCAAATGATCTCAGATCCCCCTGAACAGACCCAAAAACAAACCTCAGGAGGTGGTCTGAGTACAGTTCATTTTGGGTCCTTTCATGGTTCCATTGCACCCTCTTTGAACACCAAAAGCACTGAGGTTACTTGCAGATTGTTCACTTTTTGGTTTACTTTAACTAAACTGGGTTTGGTTCATTTAAAGGGATAGTTCACCCCAAAAATGAGAATTCTGTCATTAATTACTCACCCTCATGTCGTTCCAAACCTGTAAGATCTTCGTTCATCTTCAGAGCATATATTAAGATATTTTTGATGAAATCCGAGAGCTTTCTAACCCTCCATAGACAGCAACACAACTGACACATTCAAGGCACAGAAAGGTAGCAAGAACACTGTTAAAATAGTCCATGTGACATCAGTGGTTCAACCTTAATTTTATGAAGCAACGAGAATACTATTTTTGAACAAAGAAAACAAAAAGAATTAATTTATTCAACATTTTTTTCTCTTCCAGTCAGTCTCTGCTGCCATTCACGAGAGTACCTCAACGTAGTCCCTACTACGTTTCTGGGCCTTGAACATGGTAGTTTCCTTGCTGTCAATGGAGGGACAGAAAGCTCTCGGATTTCATCAAAAATATCTTAATTTGTGTTCCGAAGATGAACGAAGGTCCTACAGGTTCGGAATGACATGAGGGTGAGTAATTAATGACAGAATTTTCATTTTGGGATGAACTGTCCCTTTAAAGTGTAATACCTGTATATGTGAAAACACCATTAATATGCATAAAACCCCAGCCATCCACCATCAGCTGCAAGCTTGCATCAATTTTTTGAGTGAAAGCCCACATCTCAATATCCCATTAACAATTGAAGAATAGAACTAAGTCACTGCCCTACCTTATTTATTTTTTTTGGATAATCCATTACACTCGGTTATACATCGTGATATGAAGGAAAAGTTACAAAATAATCTATAAAAGATAAACATCACTACATTCTACACTAACATTGGGGATTAACCCTTATACATTTTACATATCAGAAATAACATGTTTCCAACCCTGTTGAATGCATAACTCCTAGTATTTTCAGGTAAGGTTATCATTTACCCACACTTGACTTGTATACTCGCCAAAAGTGTATATAATTAAAAAAACATTATTATTAAATAAGTATTATGCAAATAACATTATAATTTATAATTGTACCTCTAAATGCCTATTACTGTAAAAGGTCTAATTCCTGATGTCCAGGGTGTATTTATGGGTCATTAGCAGTATTGTGAGCATTCCATCTCCACACATATTTATCTAAATTACACATGATTGATTTGGTTGCTTTTTGATAAATGGACATCACAGAGAAACCACCGCTACTTATTTCATTTTTGCCTTTTTTCCTCATATTTTTAATTGAACAGAGGGAAAATAAAATAAATTAATGTGGGTGGGCGAGTGGCGGAGGATGAATAGAAATCATGAAATTAAAACAAATACAAAGTTAAAAGACCAGTCCAGTTTGATACCGCACCATCACAGTAGTTTTCTCAGTGATGTTCATTCATGCAAAACGATTCTTAAAAATGTTCTACTTCTGTGTTCCACAGGACAAATAACAGTGTACAGGTTTGAAACAACATGAGGTTGAGTAAATAATAACAGAATGTTTTTGGTGAAGTATCCCTTTAACGTGTGACTGGTTTATAATCACAGGAATCTGGTAAATAATGTATTTGACACACAAGCAAAAACACATATGAGAGAACAAACACATTCCAAGAATATGTATGAATTTACACAGGGGAGCCAGTTAAAAAAGATGTCACTTAAATAGTACAACCAAACGGCCATGACAGTGTAAAGACTTGTGGGTAAGCATGATTTATCACTAAGCAAAACCATGACATGCTTGAATGCGTGCATCTACTTTGTTCAGCTTCAGTCACCAAGCAATTTCAAGACACGCTGCACCTAATCTATAAGATGGTAAAAAGTGTGGAGGTCATTGCAGAAACTGAAGAAACCCAGCAGGGCTAAACGAGAAAAATCCATCTGACCAATATGACCCTTTTCTATGCATATCATCAGTCTGGGTGATTGTGAGACGTTTGAGATGTGTGGGGGAGACCGTAGCAGTCGGGGATCTGTGACTGTGAGTGTGATGGACTTGTACAGAGTCCTTTTTCTGGGTTTGAGTTTTTAGTCCAGTATAAATACATGTTTCATTTGAGGTTTATATGAGAACAGCGTTTCATCTTACAGCATCAATATGCAACCAGTACTATAACATTACTGTATGCTTGCACTACCGCTCAAAAGTTAAGGGTCAGTAATATTTCTTGATGTTTAAAAGAAGCCTCATATGCTCTCATAAGCCTCATAAGGCTCTATTTATTTGATTAAAAAAACACAGAAAAATGGTGGTATTGTGAAATATTATTACAATTTAAAATAGCCATTTTCTACTTTAAAAAAATATTTTCAAATTCAAATTAATTTATTCCTGTGATGCAAAGCTGAATTATCAGCAACCATTATCCAGTCTTCAGTGTCACATGATCCTTCAGAAATCATTCTAATATGCTGATTTGCTGCTCAAGAAACATTTCTGATTATTATCAATGATGAAAACAGTTGTGCTGCTTAATATTTTTGTGGAAAGCATGACATTTTTGATAGGTGGTTGTTGTCCGAGTGGTTGTTGTTTGAGTCTATTGTTTGTAATTAGACAGATTCCACAATTTGGACCAATTCAGGCAATTTGTGGGCCACACTAGGTGGGTATTTTTGCACTGACAAAATAATCAGCCAATCATAGTGACATGGAGGCAATTTTACCATCCCCTGACCTTACCTTTACGTCACGCTATAGGTACTCAATAAGAACCAAAAGAAGCCAAAAGAGACACTGCCTCCCCCTTTGTCTGCTGGTATCACTGTTGGACGGTGCTATTGCATAAAAATGAGTGATGTACACAATATTTCAGCTCATATTTTGAAATAATTGTTTTTGCCTTTTCTATATTTGATTATTTTCTCATTCAATTTATTTTGAATAGGTGCCTTGCCTCCTCCAGAGAAAACGCCCCTGATGTGTGTTGTTTTGACAGACTTACGTAGTAAATACTCTGCTGCATCCTGCTCATAATCTGCATCCTCCGGAAAGTGGTCAATCTTCTTACAGACACCTCGAAATGTTCCTGCAGCCATGAAGAACAGAGAGAGAGGAGAGAGAGAGTAAAATATCATTAGTCTATTTTGTTGCGTTGGAGCGCATACAAATACACACACACACACACACACACACTACAGGAGTCCATTTTATGTGTAAATACAAAAGTAAACGTGTCTTGGTGTGTTTATTTTGCAGCATTTTCTTATGCATTTATCAGGTCAATGAGCACAGTCCTAGTAAGCTGCTGCTATGTGTATATGTGTGTGCGTATGTGCATGTATATGCATGCCGTCTTGTGCATTCACTGACAACCCCTGTTCACTCGGCTGTGCGCTCAAGATGACAAATGAACAAAAATAACGCTTCTGCCCTCGGGCGTAACATGTGACCGGCTAATGAAGAGGTTTATCGTACCAAATACATGCGCCCTATGTAGGGGGAAACCATTCTGACACATACTGTCACATTCTCTGCTGCATTAAAGGAGGAGTACACAGCTCAAATGCTCGGTTTGTGTTTGAAACATTTCCATTTTAAGCAATTCTCTGTAGCTAGTATCAGTGCACAGTACTGTTAAAACTGTTAAAATGGATGCATTCCAAGAAATAACTTGAAATTAAATCAACCTTTTGTTTTTGCCTTCAAATTCTTTTGATATGCTCCATGGACCAAATCAAAACCCATCTGACAGATATGATTGAAACATTAAAAATCCGTGTATCATTCATTATATTTCATAATTTCATAATCATAATTTTTGATTTATTATTGAAAGTAGAAAAATGTCACTACTCCTTTTTAGTTTTTTCCGTTTTTTTCCAAAAAACGAAAAACGAGAATTCAGCTTAAATTTTTGTTTTTCATTCAGGGGTAGAAAAATGAATAAACAGCTTGAATATTCAATTTCTACACGTGGGCGGGAATTAAACACCCCTTTCTGCTGATTGGTCAGCCGAAGATCAAACCGTGCCATCATGAGTATTTCTGCAGTATCACGCAGCAGAATAATAGTCCTCCACTGCTGCAGTTGTACGGATTCTTAACACATTTATTGCAACTACATTTAGCCTTTTTTCATCAAACAAACAGGCTAATGAATAGCTCAACACAACTCATCTAGAGTCTAGGCAGAGTCTAGAAAGGGCTTTCTTCTGTGTAGATATAAATTCTATTCTTTGCATCAGCTGGGCATGGCAGGGTATGATATGACAGCTGTCTTAGCCTACCCTGCTCACCCAGTAAGTCTGTTTAAGTAATTAATTAATTAATTAATTTGTTTCAAAATAAATATTTTAAACACTAAGACAAAAAGGAAGGAATAATAAATTGGCTTGGGTATATATAGGCCTATAATGTTTACGCAAGAACTGACAACCAGAGAACAACAAATATTAGCCTACTGTTAGTTATATAATGTAGTCTTGTGTTTTATTAAAATGTATTATAATTTATATCTCAAAAGGATATGCACTTGTGTGCAGCGTGAGCCGCTGCGCACTCGCACTGCAATGCAAGAGTGTCATAAAATATAATAACTTGCCATTTCGGTTGGTTTCTCACCAAACCCTCAGTATAGGCCTACCTTCAGAATGCTTGGAATATACGCCACGAGATGCATAGGATTATTTTACGACAGATATGCATCAGATACAAAAAAAATAAAAATAAAGTCACCATTCTCTGCCATTAAATTGGCAAGTGGGAGCAGGACATTTTTGTGTTATTAAGTAATAAGCCTTTAGAACAACATTAAGGTGAGTAGTGACTCTAGTTCACACAGTTCCAATAAATTGCGATGGGTTAAATAAACTCAATAAGCAGACAGACATGACTACAGTCAAGCACAGAAGTGCACAGGAAATAAGCAGCAGTCATATTTAAAGCAGTTTAAATTAATATTGAGTACTGCTTGATGTTCACTTGGATTTTTTTCTCCCATCGAGGGGAAATAACTTAATACTCTGTCATTTATAGTTGTATGGTAAAATGTATTTTTATTTGTGTAACGTTTCGTTCAAAATAACTACAAAATGTCATGCCTTTGAAAAATAAAGAGAACAACAGAATGCGCTGCTTTAGCGCGTCTCGGTCTCCTTGAGCATCTTTCTGGCGCATGCCACAAACATCAACCACAGGGAATACTTGTCTTTTAAAAGGCTTCATTTAGATGATTTTACATTAAATGCATCATATAAGCCACTTTGGAATAAATCACAGTAGGCCTATGTATCTAGGGCTGGGTATCGTTCAAAGATTTTCGATATCGATACCGATACCTTGACTTCGATACCGGTTCCTGAACGATACTTTTTTCGATACCAATTTTATGAAATCCATTTGAACAAGATTACATTATCTAAAAAAAAAAACTTTGCTTTTATTTTTCAGCTTGTTGATGTTTATACAGACTCAAAGCCACTGCACAAAGGAACAAAATGTAACAAACAAAAAATCAGTGCAAATAGTTTTAATAAAGCTTAAATAGTCTTCAGTTTACACATCTGTTAGCTACATTTACACTAGTGCGTGTGACAGAATCACCTAGCTCAGACAGAATCGTAATTTTTATTAATTTTCTACTGATTTACTGATGAGCATTAGCAGTTTCTAGCGCTGTCTGCCTGTGCTCTCTCTTCCATGATCGCTGCTCTGACTCAGAGGTAATAACATATTTAATTTCATCAACAATACATGGCCAACACACACACGGCAATCTGAAGTTATTACAAAAACTTGATGGTGGTTTAAAGTGAGTTTTGAGTAAAAGCGGAATATAAATCTTATTTATTGTCTTATGCAGGGGTTAAATTGAGATTTGTTATGTGTGTGTTTTGTTTTTTGTGCAAATTATTTGTTCTATTCCCACTAGTCTCATTAATACTTTCATTTCAAATTCTTACATTTGATCTATAAATTCAATTGACACTGAAAAATACAACTGCATTAAATAATTATTATGAGATTATTTTAAATATTTTTTAATATACAAACAAGAAATTATGGTGGAAATTATACTTTTCAACTAAATTGAAACGCCAGTAGGTGGCAGTAGTGAGCGTTTAATGAGTGAGTCATCAAGTCGTTCATTCAATCGATTCGTTCAAACGGCAGATTCATCAGATGTTTATGCATGGGCTAATGAAACTTTGACTCAACCGATTCGTTCAAAACACGGAATCAATCAGCAATGAATCGGCTGGTTGCTGTGAGATGCGCTGTTTCTGCCTAAAATGTAAGTGACCTAATATTATTGTATTTACTTATTGAACTGTTTATAGAATTATTAAACAGTCGTAATGGTGAAAACGTTGTGTGATGTTGCCTAACTAACTGTATTTTAAATATAAAAACTTTCCATTTTGCATTTTTACCTCAGGATGCTGAGTTTCTTAGTGTTGTGCGTTTTGATTTCTCCTGGAGAGGCTGTGAGCCTCGCCTCAGCAGCGCAACCTTATACCGTCAATAGATGCATTATATACATTAGATATCCACTATTCGCCACTTACTCTAAATGTAATAACATCAGAATAATATTGCGTTTTGGTGTTTACATAGTTATTTTTGGTTACTGATGTTTTAATCATGTTACTTGTCTAGCGTTAATGAGTTAATGTCAAGCCCTGGAGTCTATAAGTGCCGAGGCTCAGCCCCAGACGGCCCCCGGCCCAATTTAAACCCTGGTCTTATGTAGCATGATGCTATAGTGTGCATGAATGGTCACATAACACGCGCTTTCGGTCTGTCATTTGTCGGAGATAGTGGAAAGCCGGCTTGAAACGCAGTGGAAACGCCAGTAAGACGAGGATCGTTTTCATTTTAAAACAAAAGCGCACCAGTGTAAATGTAGCTTTACATCTATGGGGGCTGGGACGCATTCACACTAAATACTCACGTGTGAGCCACATTTCTGAGTGTCACAGTCGCGGACCGACTGTGCAGACCTATCGGTGTATTAGGCTGTAGTAAGATACCACGAGCAGACTGCTCCGTACGTTTTCGCATCGCTCTCGCGAATGTCAAACACTGATCGATCTGCGCCTTACTGACGCTGATGAGATTAACCCCTTAGGTATCGAAATTTGGTACCGAACGACGAGACGTTTTTCGATACTCGATAGTATCGAGGCAATTCGGTCGGTGCCTAAAAAGTATCGAACTCGATACCCAGCCCTATATGTATCATGATAAAAAAAGCGACTTTACAGTCTGGAAATACTTTAGGCATTAGCAAAAATTTTATTCTCGGACCCCCTATCACTTTAAGAACCGCTGGTCTACACAGAAGAAAGACCTGTCTAGACTCTGCCCCGGTACGAGTTGTGTCGAGCTATTCATTAGTCTGTTTGATGAGAAAAATATGAAATTGATAAAATGGGTTATTAATCCGTACAACTGCAGCAGTGGAGGACTATTATTCTGCTGCATGATACTGCAGAAGAACTGATGATGGCACAGTTTGATCTTCGGCTGACCAATCAGCAGAAAGGGGCGTTTAATTCCCGCCCACGTGTAGAAATCGAATATTCAAGCTGTTTATTAATTTTTCCACCCATGAACGAAAAACGAAAATTTAAGCTGAATTCTCGTTTTTCGTTTTTTGGAAAAAAACAAAAAAACTGAAAAAGAGCCGTTTTCTCATTTTTCTACTTTCAGTATTAAATAAAAAAACTAATGATCGAATGATACACGGATTATTAAACCTCTGTTTTATCATATATTTATTTATATTCTCAAATATGTGACTGGCATCCATTCAGGCTCAGTTTGATCCTAGCAAAACACTGTGGGAAAATATAATAAGATACATTATAAATTAATAAAATCAAACTTAAATTGGAAATACATCAAATGGCATGACAAAACAAATTAGACAGACAGACAGACAGACAGAGACAGAGATAGATAGATAGATAGATGATAGACAGACGGACGGACGGATAGATAGATAGATAGATAGATAGATAGATAGATAGATAGATAGATAGAATTACAATACAATCTTACAATGCAATTACAAAAGAGGAC